CTCTAAATCCATCTGCAAAGTTCAGCCTGTCATGGCTAGATAACATAACTCAGCTGATTGCTATCTCTGCTGTGTTATTGCTTTTGGATTTAGCAGGTGGACAGAACTGATAGATGCAGTAGATACCGTTCAGCTCTTCCAGACGCAACCTGGAATGTTACACTACAGTATACTGATCTTTGATCGCCACGCATGCAAGAGGATATTAACAATTTCGAACAGGTGGCAATATCCTGTGTCATTAAGAGTTCAGATGTGACCCATATCAATGTCTCTGCGATTATGATTTTTTTTTTTTTTTTTTTTTTTTTTAAAGAGTGATCCTGCACTCACGCTTTGAGAGATCCAAGCCCATGCACTTCAAATACACCCAATCAATCAAACTAATCTATCAGGTTATGTTTTATGCTGGTCATCAAAACTCCACATGCTGGTAACAATCTCTGCTACAATACACAAAGTGCTTCTGTCATATTTTCCATTTGTATAACCTCAGGAGGGGTGTAATTTCTAACTCTTGCTGAAAAGGTGCTACATTCACTGTACCTGCCAGTTACTCAGGGATATGGCTTATGGCATTACAGTCTGCACAACAAAAATAAAATAATGACATGCTTGCTTACTGTTCTGTGTCTTATGATTTGTATGGACCTTGGGTAAAACAAGGTTAATTTGATCATTATATACAGGGCAGCAGAATACAATTTGGAGTCCAAGTAATTATAACTGACTTATTTTGAAACTTTGAATGTTTCAAAATGAAAGGTTGAATTTATGAGCAGTAAAACACACTTTTGCTCAATTCAGTGCACGCAGGAGTTTTGCTGCTACAGCCCGACTTGGCCATATTTGGTCTCATATGACCAGTCGCTTACAGCGGCTAATGTTAGCTAATATTAGCAAAGTGTAGATAAATATTGCTTCTATATACTGCACATTACTGAGTCCTTTTGTTGACTTTATGACTCTTCTCCGCCTGTGCTACTGTGACGTCAGTTTAGCATTTTAGCAAAATGCTATAGTGGTTTAGTATTTGGTAATATGAAACAAATATGTCAAATTTGTATTACTAACTATTGCGTGGTGCTTTCGATCAAAGCATAATTTATGGTTCAAATGATATACAGATGTAAACGCATTAGGCCCACACATCCCAAACATAACTCTGATTTAAAAAAAAAAAAAAAAAAAAATGATGCATACAAGATTTTTTCTTGATGAAAAAATAAACCAAATTTATCTTCATCTTTAAAAATGGGAGGATCATTAATCTATCCTTGTTAAACATACAGTATGCCTGTCCACTGGCTACTTGTGTAACTAGGGATCATGTAACTTGTCATCGGTGCCTGAGGAATCATTCTCAGTATTGGCCCACAAGTAATAGCAGCATGTGATGACACACACACACACACCAAACACACACACACACACACACACACACACACACACACACACACACACACACACACACTGGTCTTTCGTCCACACTTCCTTTCTCTGTGCCCATTTCACTCCCCTCTTCTTCATTAATTCGCTCAACCACTAAATCACTCCAGCTCAGCCGGCCCACATTCAGACACGGACAGACAGAGAGAGCTGCTCTGATAAAAAAACTCCAGCCTTCCAATAATCAAGAAGCTTATGGGAAATAAAGTGCATGCAAGCAGTTGTGGAGGTATGCAAGAGAATAAATCAGCACTGAAGCAGTACATTTGTCTTAGTCCAGGTGTGTAGCATGCCTCCTGCTCACTTTTAAAATGGCTAGAAGTCAATAACCTGAAGCAGCGGCAGTCTGTAATAACTATTAAGTAATGTGATGGCAGAGTAAATGGGCAGCTGGTGACTGCGATGCTGAGGTCAAACCCTTCAACATCTCCAAACTACACAAACAGCAAGAGAAATGAGAGAGTTAGTAAATTTGTGGAAGCATTAAGAATAGAGGAAGCGATTGTGATGGAGGTGCAGAAAGACCAAAACATAACAATAATAAACCAGAGAGCAAAGAGAGGGATACAGAGACAAAGAGAAAGAGGGAGAATCTGTTACGTGGCTCTTACTCAGTACTTCATCCTTGGTCCATGTGTTGTCTATTACCTCCTGCTTCTTTGTTTCTGCCCTACTTCTAGCACACATACCCGCCGTGCCAACAACACGCCAGCCAAATTAATAGGAAATACACACACGCACACACACACACAAACACACTGGAGCGAGTGCCAGCATCCTTGCTCCAAGCTGGCGTGAGTACAACACACTGTTGCTTATCCAGTCAGAGCTTCCACCAGAGGCTATTTTCCAATCAAATCAAAAGAAGGGCTTAGCAGGTAGGTCCGGGCCTTTGTCTGTGGAGCTGGATGGTTGAAACAGACACTATGAGAATGTCCTCTCTGCTTGCTTAGTTGCTTTAATCCAGTGTTGGGCAGTCATTGTAATCCGCTCACTTGGATAACATAATTACATTACAAAAACAAAGTTACTAATCAGACCAGGAGATTATTATCAAATTACTGAAAAAACTTTGTGGTGGATCCGAGCCCTTGTTTGTTGTCGAGTGTGGTCGAGAGAAAGCCTGCACGACACACAGCGGCACATTACGTGTCCGGTGGAAAAGCAGACAAGTGCAGTTTTTGGCAAAAACATCTGAAATCTGTGGTGGTTTATCCCACAAAAACACATAAGAATACATAAGCCTTAAAAAGTCTGCCTGACATGGCCGTGTAGGCAACCAGAGGTTCTCATTACAAACCCGCATGATATGAAACATCCCCTCAATGGAACACATATTGTCTGCATGTCTCAATTACAGCCTGAATTCCTCGCTTAAGAAACGCACACACACACACACGGTTTTCTGCGAGCGCACTGATGCTTATGCGTGCATTCACTTGCAGACATGTGCACAGACAAAAATATATTTATAAATATGCAGAATAGGTTATGGTTTGTACAGTATGAGAACGACAGGGACTTAAACTTCACACACAGGCTTAGCCCAACTCTTCCATTTGCACTAAACAGAACCTGCTGTGTGTGTGTATGTGTGTGTGCATATGTACAAGTGTGTTTGGGCTTGGCCTGGCAGCAGAGCTCTCTCAGGTTACACACACACAGGAAGGCTCAGAGCAATAACAAAGGCCTTTCAAAGGAACCCTCAGCAGGTTAAGATAAAATGTTTTCGCTCAAACTGATAAAAAGCATCTGCAGCTTAAGTGTACAGGCGCTGGTATCAGTGGCGTGGTATTCGCCACAGATCGGCCGGCACAGATTAAAACAGAACCTGGGTTGGCTCTTTATTAGACACAAAAATACACACAGAGCGCTAAGAGTGAGTGTATGTGTCCGCTCTGTGCGTGTGTCCAGTCCGGTAATGACAGAAGCACCTGTGAGCTCTAAATCCACAGCCTGCCAACATTGTCCACAGTGAGAACCAGAAAACGAATAGTGTGCTATCGAGTGGTCCTACACTCTATAGACTCTTCACACAAGTCAAATTGTCCTGTAGCAGCGTCATTCTCATTACTCTCTTCATTTATAAGCAGTAGTGTCCTCTACAGACAAACATACACTACGTGCGGCAGTTGCAGGTGATTTGAGGTGACGGTCGTGCCCAACATGCTATGTACATGTGTTTTGATCCAGAAAGCCAGCATCTCTTAAGTGGAGAAGTTTAAAGTGGTGGTGGTGTGTGTGTGGCTATGTTTGTTTCTTCTGTACAACCACACTGGTTGACCGAGACCACAATTATTATTTATAGGAATGGCCCAGAAGGAGAAGACTCAGGCCAAGGAGATGTGTGCATGCATATATGTGTATTTGTGTGTGTGTGTGTGCGTTTGGGGTCATATTTATGCATGGTCACGCTAACATCTGTGCTGTCACTTTAGCATGTGTGCATACTGTATGACTGTACCACAGGGTGTCTGCAGCTTCTACCAAGTTTAAATCATGACTTTTATGACCTAATTGATGCCAGTTAAAATGAAATACAAGGCTACATTCCACAAGTGAAATAAATGTGAAATTGGAAACAATTGTATGCCTATCAGCATAGAGGCTGCTGTGATGGGGCTTTGACCCAAGAAGAAATAATGTGCAAAACTGAACTATTTTAAAGCAAAATTCCTGTTTATTACAAGAAAGGTCTCACCTTCCCAATTCCAGCCATCATTTCTATCACTGTACTCAATACAGTAAATGCAGATTACTTTAGTGGGTATATCAGTGAGATCTGATTACATGGCTACATCCAATGGGGCAAGCAAAATGAGCAGCCGGACATACGTTAATGCTTAATTCCAAAGGAAAGCTGTGTGCATGGACAACTAGAGCAAGCAGGTTTCCAGTAGCATTTTATGTTAGAGGTGGCCCCCATCCCCTTACATCAAAAGAAATGACTACCGGTACATTTTTATGAAATATAATATTAAGCTTTAGGCTCATACAGCAAGTTTAAAAAGAAATGTGCAGTGGCTCTACATCATATTACCTGCAGTAGATTCAGATGCCAGCTCCCAGTTAGGAGAGGCAGCAGGGAACACGTCGGCACACTAGCAGAGTTACGTGCTATTGTGCACAGGGCCAGCAGAAAAAACACTTGTAGACATTTTAATAAGACGCCCACCAAAAACAATCCAATATCTGTTTAAATGTAAGCTTAATTTAGAATATTTTCAGCAAGTTATCTTGAACCAGGAAGTCTAAAGTGTGACGGGTGTTTTTCAATGGACAGCTTGGGCAATTTTACCACTCACCTTTGTTCTTTCTTCCACATAAGTTCGCCTAACCTGGACTTTGTTGTAGCTTTGTTGGTGTGTTTCCAAAGCTCAGCAATTAACTTTATGAGTGCAAGGTCATTATTAGCAATGGGAAAGAATGCCAAAGCTATAGAAGTAAGACTCAGGTTGTATGATACTGGGATTTCCAATCAATATATAAAATCTAGACTTTCTTCTCTATATACACCCTTATAGCAGCATGTGCCCCTTGTCGCATCTCACCTGGAAGCCCTGGATGCGAGCCAGGTAGTCCAGCTGCTGTGCGGGCTGCACTGAGACGCCACAGGCCAGGGCCGGGTTCTTCCCCTTTATGGGCAGGGAGGCATCAGAAGTGGGTGACTGACCGTTAAGCAGCAGCTCCCTGGCCATAGTAGCAGTGGGGTTGGGTGAGGAGGTTGAGCCGCTGTAGTATGGAGGGTGTCCTGGGGGCAACGGGGCAGAGCAGGGCCCCATATCTTTGGATGTTATGTAGTTGACGGAGCCGCCACTGCTGCCGCCTGGGCCCGAACCACTGCCCCCCTGCTTCCTGCTAGCTTCCATCTCCTGGTAGACATCAGGGCTGAGGTGGAGCAGACCCTTCTGGGCTGGAGGGGTCAAAGAAGAGGGAGGGAGGGACGATGGATGGAAGAGGAAGAGGAAGAGGAAGAGGAAGAGGAAGAGTGAGGTGATAGGGAGAAGAGGAGAGGAAAATAGGAATAAAATAAGGGATGCATAAATGGACAGAGGTGAGATGGTGTAAGAGCAGTAGGTAGAGAATGAATACAGAAGAAATGGAGTTTATACAGGAGCAGAAATGGACAAAGGTAGGAGAGATTGAGGGAGAAAGAAGAGAGAAAAAGGGTTATTATTGCTCTCATTCTCAAGTGTCAAAATTATTTGCACACACACATTCCAACATCAGCTGCCACTTACTAACAAGCAATGCCAGGAGGGGTTTGTGCTAGAGGTTTTGATGGCCTCTAGCACTCGACCTGAAATGGACCTGTTGAAAACCTACCCAGACCCGATGTGCATAATTTAATTTTCAAAAAAGAGAGACTCGATCTGCAGGGGACCGAGAACAGATCCAACACAAATAGAAAAAAAAAACAAACATTTCATCATCATTTAATAATAGAAATCTTTTAGGCTCTTGATTTTCCAAAGAAAAGCTGGTGTTCAGTTCCCTTTTCAGAGCAAAACTCATTCTCCCTCTTGCTACAAAACACTGTTTTCTCCTGTAGTGATTGTAACGTTGCACTTGATAAGAGCTGATACTACAAAGATTCAGATCCTTTCATCCATTCAGGTAATGGACATGAGACCCGAGACCTGTGGCAGTAAAGCAAGACCCGACCTGACCTGACCCTATTGGACTGAGCAGAATTTGGACCCAACTCGTATCCTGGGTCAGGTCTCTGTTCCTCAGAACTGAGTGGACCCATGAAGATCTGCATGTGTGTGTGCCTAACTTGTGTGTGTTGGCTCTCAAACTGGCATTCCATCACCAAACATAGATGACAGTTTCATGCGGTCTGGCAGTTCCGAGCACTATCAAAGTGTCTTCTGGGAAACACACAAAGCTGCTTTCTTTCTCACTCTCAAACACAAACCCACCGACACAAACGGAGTGCCTACCAGTACCAGCAGAGCGGCTATGACTCCATCATTGGTGGAAAGCAGCACTGTCAGATAACTGGCATCCTACTTCACTTATACCTTATATATACTTATATATATATATATGTAACATCTCTTCAAAAGCAGACATGTCAGAACTCAGAAGCAGGTTTGGTCTCAGATCAAGAATCTTGTGAGAATATTTTGGTGGCTTGAGGAAAGATCCCGAGCGATTTGGATCCAAGAGGCGGAAGCACCTTTGTTGTCTGACCAGCTTTTATTTAACAGGACGCAGCTCGATCCAGACATGCTGTGGTTTGTAGCCAGCTGAGCACAACAGCGCTCCAAGCTTATGTTCCGATCCAGACCATTTGGATAAATCTAATTCGTTTATGTTGGCTTCCTGCACTCTGACATCACTGTCCAGAAATGGTCATGACAGGTGGAAATGAGGAAACACCAACGGGGTTGGTGTTCAGAACTTTCGTCACTTTGTGGCTGCGGTGGTGGAAGTGAGAGGGAGGAATATGTGACGTGAAAGAAGAAGAAGAAGAAGAAGAAGAAGAAGACGACTACGACATGTGAAAGGAGAGAAAGGATAAAAAAGAAGGATGAGCTGGGAGCCAGTTCAGATGGAAGAGGAGGTGGGGATGAGTGAATGTGAAAACCATGCGAAGCCTCCGAAGCCCAGCCAAGGTCACCAGAGACAGGAAGACCAGCTGTGTATGTGTCTGTGCGTACGTCTGTGAGCTTGTTTGTGTGTGCGTATGGACCAACAGCTGGGAGAAAGCGCATGACTGACAGGCCACTTCCTGTTTGAGTTACCGTCACACTCACACTCACACACACACACACACACACACACACACACACACACACACACACACACACACACACACACATAGAGCTTTAGCTTACTCTAGTCTAAGGTTTCTGGGAACCTGCAGACAGCATTATGAACAATGAAGTTTGCGCTCCATCCAGAAGAACAGAGAAGCTGAAGGAAACAGCTATGAAATCCAGGACTTATTACTCATACTACAACAAACTGACCCATGCCAGCAATGACACAACTGCTAGGATTTTTTTCCCCCCTCCCAATCATGATGACAACTTTAATTTGAATTTACACAAGTAAAACTTGCAGGCCTGTGCATTCTGAATGTAGCGTCATAAAAAATGAAAGGTGTTAGCCAACATGACATCAGCAGTGGACGAAGAGTATTGGAGGGGGGGCACTGAATGTAATCCATGTGAGTGTGTGTGATTGTCTACTTAAGTGTGTGTGGGCGTACATGTGAGGATGTTTGCATGTGATTGAGTGCTTGAAGCTGGTGTCAGATGGCAAGCGAGAGCGTGAGAGCAAGACAGAGCAAGAGTGAGACAAAGGAGGAGACACAGCGAGAGTGAATAAGTAAGAGTGACGGAGTGTGTTTGTGCGTGAGGATGTCGGACAGCGATTGTGAAATTGTCTACATGAAGTGGGAGCGAGTTAGAGAAAGGCAAGAGCGAGAGTTAGGTTGAGAAGTGGGGGAACAAAAGAGTGAAGGAGATTGTGTTTGTGGTGCTGGTTCCAGGCAGTTTCGGAGGGGTCCCACCCAGGCTCGGCGTCCAGTGGGCCAGGGGAGCGCTGGAGGGAAGCCAGAGCCAAGCATGAGACTGATCGAAAACAGATAGGGCCGAAGCCCGCCACTATAAATCACCACGGTGGAGCAAGACCTTCACATAGTTCACACATGCACACAGCGAACAGACACACATGCACACACACACATATGCACAGCAGGAAATGAAATGTGGCAACTCGAGTGAAAGGCCCTGCCGCAATACCCATGGGAATAGAAGGGAGAAAAATCACTCTCTTCTTCCTTCTTTTTCTTCCTTCTTTCTGCGCTCCCTTCCTGTCTCTAAGCCACCCTGTTTGTTGTAGCACTGCATCCCACAGCTCACCGGGGCAAAGGACACTTCTACACTCACACACACACATGCGCACACTTACACATACACAGTGATCGCCTGTGGGCGCCTGAGGTGTGTGTGTTTTGTATGGAAGAGGAACGGTAGTACAGAGCAATAACTGGACAGCCGGTGACACATTTACCCAATTTCTCCCAGTTTGCCTCACGTAATGCTGCACTGCTCCTTATGTAGGGTATAGCTGGTCAGCGACAGCACTGCAGGCATGTGGACAACAATTTGTATGTTCCAACAATGCAATTAACCCAATTTCTAAATGTCAATATACCACACCCTTTAAAGTTGTAATCCTTAATAATTACCCATATCCAACTGTTATTTTAAATGCTATTTATCCCCATCGTTTTTTTCATCTACTGGCGTTCAGTGCAGTTGTATTCTGTCATTCTTCTGCCTCCCTCTATATTGCGGTTTTACATGGTTAGTGGAAAGTTGACCTTTGCCACGTAGGATTAAAATTGTTTACCCACGCTCAAGCTATTCCAGCAATTCCAGCATGCACATACCAGACAAAAAAAAGAAAAAGCATGTATGTATTTCACGTAATGCGGATGACGACGTTCAGTCTGTGCACGTGTGAGTTCAGTATTAGCATGAGATAGGGTTGGGCGATATGTTAAAATTTTTCCAACCAGCCATCAGCAGTCCAACAACTGGTGATTGCCAATATATTTACACAGATGTGTGGATTCTGTTTGAGTAAATTTGTCTTCACATTATCCTCTGTCCCCCAAAGTCTTTAATGTGAAAATCTAATTTCACTGAAACATTACAGCCTACTCTTCTTTAATGAAACAAAATAAATCGTCTTGAGATCTTTGATAAGCCGTAAGCTGCAGAGAAAAGGCTGAACAGCTGTCCGACATTACTTGAAGGAGTCTGATGGCGTCAGATGAAGGACGCCTCTGTTTGCAGCTTCCAGGTGGACAAACAGGACAAATGATCAGGATGCACAACTGCACATTGCATACAGCTTTTGGTCTAGTTCTGAAATATGATTTTTAAAATGATGTAGCTTTTCAGCACCAGCGGATCAGACAGCAACCACTAAACAGACAGAAATCAGTGCAACAAAAGGGGGTGCATAATAGTCATGCGCAGGTCAGGGTTTTTTAAGGCCCGCACCCACCTGACCCACAGTGAGAGCCGCCCCGCTCTGCCTGACCTAAAGAAATGTGTTAACCAGCCACCTGAACCCAACCTGCAAACTGCCAATTTGAGCTCTCTCTCTCTCTCTCTCTCTCTCTTTTCCACAGTCAGAAACAAGCAGATACAACATTTACAAAGCACTTGATTTTGCTTTCATTTATTTTCATTCAGATTAATACGATTAAGAAAACAGATGAAAAGTAGCTGCTGCTGCCTGCTGTGCGTTCTTCAGCACCACGGAGGTGTGGAGAGCGGAGAGAGAGAGAGAGAGCGAGAGATGCTTTCTATTTCAGTGATAGTGAGAGACTTTTACTAATCCACCCTACCTTTGTGGAATAATTATACCTTTGTATTCTGTTTTAGAAAGGTGAGAAAACACTTTAAAATTGGTTATGGAGATTATTGACAGCCAGGGCACTATTGCACAATATAGCTCAATTAAATTATCAAGGGGTCAGACCATTAAATTAGCAAAATAAAATAAGAAAAATTGCCACCAAAAACCAAAAATATATTCATCCAATCATCCAACCCTAGCGTGAGCCAAGACTGTTGTTTGTCTTTGTTAATTAAAAACTGTGAAACAATGAACCTTCTAAGCCCATGGTTTGTGTCACAAGTTGCTCTTCTCCTACTGAGCATCTGAAACAGTCGTTGCTCTAAACTGCGTTTACTGGCCCTGAACGGAACTCTGGGATCTGCAACCACCACCAGCAACCACTGGTGTCGTGAAAGAAACCAGGACTGAAATCATAAAGGACACAATTTTAAAAGCTCCGTAAAATTGTATTTACTACGGCCTGTGGAATTTTCTTATTGACAAAAGAAAGTTTTGTTTAGTGTTTCTCAGCAAAACGCATTCTTCGTCTTTGAGAGAAAACAAAAATTGTGTTGAATAACATTTGCAAAGCCGCATTTTTTAAATATTATATATTGTGCAATGTTTACATCTGTGTTTCCTTGACAGCAGTCTTCTTCTCCTCTGCTTTTGTTGGCGCACTGCTACTTCTGTTGGAACGCAACCGCCGCCGACTGTCAATCAGCGGAATAGTGTAAAACCAACAGCAGGATGTGAATTACGCCACACGCGTGCTTGCACATGTGCGTCAGCCTGCACGATACAAACAAAATTGGGACCCGCTCGTAAAACATTGCTCCATAGTGCTTCTTAATAGTAGGAAGGAACCTAACTATGAAAGCAGCTTCTTTAATTTAAACACTTGTAAAATCTGTCAAGAATTTGATCTGGAAATATTTACAAGAAGAATGACTCACTTATTACTACTTGAACTTTGATCACAGAAATAATTCAAGACAACCTATTCTCTGCTGTTTGTGTGGGTCTTTAGAGGGTTTACTCTATAAACACACATCAGCACAAACATAATTTAGCAGTTTAAAAAAAATGTTACAATCAATCTGATGCCACAGCTTATTTTTATTGAGTGTGCTCCAATTCTGAAAACTGATTTATCTAGTCCCTGTTTTTTCTTTTTTGGTAAACAGCAAAGTCAATCAAAACAACAGACAAACCAGAAACATCTCCCATTCAGCAATCACAGACACACACAGACACAGACACAGACACACACACACACACACACACACACAAAACGGAGACCAGCTGTATCTGTTTGAATGAGTTGTAAATGGTGTTTATGCAATAAACATTATTCAGACATTAGCGTCGTGTGAGTGTTGTGTGGTTTGGGCAACTTTAAAGAGGTAATTAGCAGACAGTTAAGCCTCATGCTGAGTGTGAGATAAACTTAGAGTGGGAATGGCACTGGACCAAAGACACACTCCCAGCCAACAATAGGAATAATCACCAAATTAGGAAGACTTCGTTTCCCAGGGGGCTCTGCTCTGGAGGTATTGGGCAATTCCTGTAGCTTGGGCTACCATGGAAACCACAACCACAAAAATGGTTTATCCGAGAAAACAATCATTTATCTATAAACACAATTTAGATGATATATTATTCCAAAAATTGGACTAAATCACAGATATGAGTGCTATTTAATTTGTGGCAGGAGCTCCATTCTCATCTGGATTCTGTATATTGAGTCCGGACCAGCAAGGAGCAAACACAATAAGTCAGAGTGATTAGTCTTACCAATCTGCTTTGTACTTTTCAACATGAGAAAGCTGAAACATCACATTCATTCTCTCCAGGCTGAAGCTGGATACCCCGTGCTGGCAACACTGCAAAAAGCCTCCATTAGGCCCGAGTGACGACAGCACATTCAAAACTAATAAGGCTATCTGTTTGTTTTCCACTCTGCTGCTCCACATCTCACAGACTATTTATTTGTCCCCTAAACTGCTCTTTCTCAAGCTGCTGGCATTTACTTTGCTGGCATTTGGAGTGAAACTGCTCGCAGTGTGTTGTTTTATCAAGCTGGGACATCACAACAAATCAAGCTCAGGTAGTACAAAGCTCGGAAATCTGCTTAAGCAACACCATGATTATGAATTCTTTGCACATGTTATTTCACCTGTAGTAAACATTAACTTCCTTAACTCCCACACCATGTGGAGTAAATGATAAAATAACAGTGCTGCCAGACTATGGAGAGCAGGAAAACAACTGAAAATAGAATGTGAAGTCTTGAAATAGCGTTTTTACTTTGGTGAGAGGAAGGCTTTCTCATTGTTTTTATTTTGATTACAGACAAGACAGCCAACTTAACAACAGATACAGCAGATAGAAACCAGCTGTTTCCTACGAAATTACATCCTTACGCTTTTCATAGAAGGGCCCTTTGAGTCCTTTACCCTCTATACTGTAAGTGAAATGTCCCTTAAGGCCATTACATTCTCATGTGCATACACAAATCCTGTCATGAAACTATTTTGTATTTGTCTATGCTTTAAAATGTCCATAAGCAGATAATCTTTTCCAAATGAGGAGATGACTGAGGAGTCTTTTCCATGTCTCTGCATTTTCTGCATATTTGGATCAGAGACAGAGAGGCAGATGGACAGAGACTGAGTTGCATGTTTACATGCAGTCAAGTCAACAGGGTATATTTTATTTTGCAGCTTTAGCACGTTGACATGTTGGTTTTCAATGCACCAGGAGACAAAACGAGATTTAAGAGATCTGAACAAGACTTATGAGTATGAGTACACAGACATGTTCCACACATGTCCACTAGAAAACATGATGGCAACCTCCTGACAGCAAGAAGAAGAGCTTGTTTGTTTGTTGTATTTGGCAGAACAAAAAGAAAAAGTTGAAAAAAAGAAGACAGTGCGTGCAACATCTTAACAAGAATAGGACTGAGGATGTGGAATACAGTACTTGCATATAGTTTATAAAAAGTTTACTTCCATGTGCACAAGGGGCCTGAGCAGACAGTTGTGGACTGGATACATGATGAAATTTACATCATGCAGACCCCTTGTAGCCAAGTGGACGGCAGAACCATGAATTGTTGTGAGTACCAAAGTTTGTGTTAATCTATCTTGTAGATGTAGAGATATTTCACTGGATAGATGAATAATTGGCCCGCTGGTGGTGCTAGATAAAAAGTCAGAGGCTCACCAAAGTCAGTATGCTTCGTCCTCTGGAGACCACGACAGGTTTTACAAAATTTCATGTTGTCGAGACATTTAAGCCTGGAGCTAACTGGTGGACCGACCGGCATTCAAAGGTGGAACTTTACAGGTGAAGGCAGAGTTAGGTGTGGTCCGACCATTAAGTACTGAGTGTCCGTGTAATAATGCAGTAATGACTACTCATGAGTACTCATGTAACTAGATACCACCTTGTGATGAGATCAAACCAGCTGCGACGCCCGTCACCATGCTGACGTCCCGACCAATGACCACTAAGTAGTTATTATGACTTTTTTTTTTATTTTTTATATATATATATATATAAAAGAGAGCTGCCTCTAGACTTGTGACACCGTGTGCCAAGAACATGGAAATGAGATATATATATATCCACAGGGTATACTACTATACTTAGTAAGTTATACTACAACAATACTTCTTTAAGGGTTAACATGCACTTCCTTTGCAGCAGTGTTTGTAATGACAGTTAGGTTACTTCAAAGTTCCAGTACTTTTTTTATTGAGGTCATTATCTTATTTTGCCTGCAGCCGCCATGTGCTAGACACACACGGCTAAGTCAGATATATCTTACTTCATATAAATCCTCCTATCATATCATCACATATCCTGCCTCATGATGTGCTTTGTGTCTCTTGTGTGTATAGGATTAAGGGAATGTGTGTGTGTGCATCTGCGCCCCTGTGTGCTTGTGTGTTAATCCTGAGTGAAAGGCTACGTTTTTTGCACAGGAAGGCAGTGGGGGGACTCCCTGGAGGGCCTCAGTGTGCTGGCCCTGTAAGCCTGTGTGAATGAGCCTGAATTCGCAGGCTCCCCACGAGGACGCACGGCCGATTAAGCTGACAGTCAGAGGCCCATTGACCAGTCACAGAGATTAAACGCCGGGCCATCTTGTCGGCTAAAACCACCTGCAGGATAGAGGGAACGATGGAGAGACGGAGAGGAGGAGGAGAAGGAAATGGAGAGAGACACAGGGAGACGTGCGGATACTCACTGTTACTTGTCGCTTCGGTAAAAGACGCCTTTTGTCCATTCCAGCCTTTGTTGTCCATCTGTAGTGATGCGGAGAGACGGAGAGAAAGGGGGAGGTAAGAGAGATGTAGATTCTTGAACAGACAGCTTCTTCACGCATGTCAGACAAGTTCCTTCCTACTGTTTGGGCCACAAAGAGACGAGCGCTCACAGGAGGGGATGCTTAAGGAGCCTAGTGTCTGTCTAGGCCAGCTACTTAATTAAGGGGGTTGTCAATGTTCAGTGACTAAAAAAGGCTCCTATTCAGTGTGTTACTTCTTCTGTGGTATGCGTGTGTGCCTGCACAAACACACACAGCCACAAACACACGTGTGTGAAACAGAAAAACAAATTATTTCTGATGTGTGTGACAGTTAAGGAGATGACATGGTTGTAAACAAATGCACCCCACTTTAAACCCACCTGCCCCCCTCCACCCAAAGTCTCTTTACACTTTAGCACAGATCACCCACAGTCCCACGGTGGGAATGTAGTGCAACAGAGCTGCCAACAAAAGGGGAGGCAGGGAAGAGACAGAGAGAGAGAGAGAGATCTGAAGAGAGACAACCTGTCCTACAAAACAGGATCTTGTTTAATTATTCCGCAGAGCTCGGGGTTGTCTAAGGATCTAAAGAGAAGTAGGGCGCCCAACTAATTCTTATAAAGATGTTTTCAGAGTTGTCAAACCAATGCACAGCCATGTATCAGCCACTAACTCCATTCTGTCTAAATATTCCTTGCCGTGAGTGTAACCAGAAATGGCCTCACTGCTTATTTCCAGCACAGCAGACTCTCATTTATCCGAAACCTTAGACATCAAAACATGGTGGTTTATAGGGCTGACAAATAAAACATGCAATGATGCAAACAGAAATTCAATAACTTGTGTGCAACATTTGACATTTCCCTGTCGACACCTGCAGCTAGAGCATTTTCAGTGTGCAGAGGGTTCAGCACTTTCAAAGGCGTGATGTGCTGAAGCTTTAGAAATTTTTCAGGGGTAACTACATAACAGACCAGACTGAATACTTGACTGTTTAATATGAGGATTAAGGCAAAGGGATACATTGACTGCAAACTGGGTTGTGGTTTCTTTGGAGGATACGACTCAATTTCAAAGTCATTCTGATAAGAGCAATGTGTCGTCCTTTAGCTGTATGGTATGGCTGTCTGAATAAGATATATGCAGCAGCACATATCTAACTAATGAGCTGTCTGGGGAGCGCTGGATAAATCCTGGTTTCTGATTCCTAGTTATGTAACATCATCTCTATCTGTATCTGTTCCCTTGAGCTTAAAAACCAACGAGGTGAATAAAGATGATGGTGATCAATGGCTGCTTGAAAAACACATTCGGTTCAGAGGAGCTGAACAGGTTATGTAATAGGTCAGCAGCACTGGGACTCTTGATAAATCAGAGAATCGACTGAAGATCAGTATTTCTTGAATCGCCACAGGGCTATAGAGATGAGATAGTGTATAGACAAAATAAGGGCAGTGCACTGAATGTCTTTTATGTAATCCTTCAGCTTACAGCTGCACAGGTACTCACTAATGCGCAAACCCTGCTGGTAGCACGTCCGGAATACCAATTGCAAAACGTCCTACATAACATTTCAGTGTGTGCGTGCATGCGTGCACATCTTTAAAAAATGATGCTGAAGTCATCATGACTGGAGCTGAAACAATTAGTTTATCGATCAATTAGTTAACGGAGTGAAAATTAAGCAGCAACCATTTTTCTGAGGCAAAAAAGCCAATCATTTCCAGTTTCTCTGATGTGAGGATTTGCCACTTTTCTGTTTTATGTGATTGTAAACTGGGACTTTGGACTGTTGCTCAAACAAAACAGGCAATTTAAAGATGTCACAATGGGTTCTGGGAAATTGCGATGACATTTTACAGACTAACCGATTAATTGAAAAAATAACAGCTGGATTAAGTGATAGAGTTAATTATTATGGTAATTATAATGTAATTATATACGGTAATAATTATGGATATTTTTGAGTTATTTGAGTTGTGTTCATGGAATAAATTGCAAGTTGAATGGTTAACCACACCTGTTATAGGGCTAATCAGCATTTTGATACTATATATACTGTATATGGGTGTGGTATCCATTTATAAACATTTTGACCAAGCAAAGATCTGACCAGAACTGACACGTTGTCTGTTTTTGAAGGCAGTGCACTGATTTCCAATAACCTTTTCCCTGCGTGTGATGTGCATACAACTACGCTCCTTGATCAATAACGAAAATAATCATAAGCTGTAGTCTTAAGCTCCTTTTCTTCAGCAGAACACGATCTGTGAGAAACCACCTATGCTTAAATGAACGAACAGTTATACATCCTACCACGGTGAGACACGTGCATATAAACTGGCTGTAAAATATACATGTTATACAGTAGACGGCAGTAAAGCCGAGCTCGTACCTCGGTGGGGTTCTGCGGGACTGTGGAGGCCTTGTATCCCAGCTGCAGCAACATCGCCTCGGCCGCGTTCCGCTTGGCCACCTTCTTGTTGGGTCCTGTTCCCGTGGCGACCTCGTTATTCACCTTCACCTGCATGTGCACGGATGCAAACACACGCACAGGAGCAGACACACAAACACGCACGTGTCAACAAGCGCATACACGTGAAATAAAGATATGCAGATGAAAGGCAACATTTTCAGATCCCTGCCTTTGCTCTAGTTTTCACACTTTCAGTCAAGAACACTTTGCTTCGCTCTCTGAGTCGAGTCAGCCGTGCAATTTACATCGCACAAAAAACGCTCCAAGTCAAGTGTTTGTTTTTCAGTGATCCCAAAACATTAAATCTGTCTACACAGAATGTAAGCAGATATTTCCAAGAGAATATCAGACGTCGTTATGTTATGCAAACAGACAATTACACTGTACAAATAACATTCTGGGAGCCAAACCCTGTGAACAGCCAGGCCTCAGTGCACTTACTCAAAGTGGTCTGACATGCTCAGTAAGTGCTCGCCTGAATGCATCAAGTAGGCCACAACATACAACAAGAAAGAAAACCTTAATAAATTACGAAATTACTAAAATAAACACAACAACTCTTGTTTTTTTTAAATTGTAAATGATGATCACCCCAACAAATGCTTCTGACACAAAGTGGAGCCTTTTTCTCTAACTAGTGATGGCTTCAGACAAAAGATCCAAAAACAGAGACTCATTTGAGCCCTGCTGCTTACTGAGGGAAACAATGTGGAAATTTTAGAAGAGTGAGTGGACTGCACAAAAGGAACACACACTCGCAGGGCTTAATGTGTGTATCAAAGAGGCATGGAGAACAGGTTTGAGGCCGAATTGATGCCTGACGCTAAGAGAAGCTCTGTCCGTCTTATGAAAGAAAAGGTTTACGGAAAGAGAGACAAAGAGTGAGAGTTTGACTGAGAGAGACAGAGACAGAAAGAGAAACTGCAGTTAAACTGTTGCGCGTACGTTTAAGTGGACTGGGTTACACCAGCTCCACTTGTTGTTTGTCTTATACAGACTTCTGACTTGGGTTGACTCATGCTGACACAAACGGATTATAGCAACAGTAGTAACAACCAAAAGACAACACTTACACTTGTCTTCAAATCTAAATGTTCACTATTAACAAAGCTTAATGTCTGTTTTATATTATGTCTTTCGTGATTGCGGTCCAGGTTTTGCATATTTTTATATTTTCCTTTCTGCCAAAAGAGACTGTGAAACACTTTGCTTTGTAAAGCAGTTTTCAATCATTCTGTCATCCACAGACACTGTAGACATCTAGACTATAACCTGGTCACTGCAATACCATTTACATGGCTCACAGTGAGACAGTTTAAAAAGAAGCCTGACTTTACATAATGTTCTTGATTATCAGGTTCAGTTTGAAAGGATGTGCGATGGCTAACGGTGAACAGCTCATCAAAGCATGACTGAACCTAAATGAAACAGGAAAACTCATTCATTTGAAGGGATGGGTCTGTGAGTTTTCAGAATAATGCTTTAATCTTGTATTAAGTGAGTTATTAGCATGCATGTACTAAGAGAGACTGGCAGTTAGTAAGAAAGCTTTAACGTTTAAGCCTGTAAAAGTAATGGGGGTTAAATAGAGACAGACAATGTCAATTCCAATCAAAAACTAGGCAGATTCAAATTTAAGGCTGAGAGTAATGTATCAGCGACGAGTCTAAACCACGCCAGGTTTACAATAACTTATAGCAAGCTGTTTTCCTGTCATCTCGTAATGATGTGGCTTTTTTATACATGACCTAATGCAGCTCTGAAAAAAAGGTAACTGTGATGAGATCCCTTCCTCAGACAAAGTCCCTGCTCTGTTTACTGGATTAGTGATAAACAGCAAATCATCCATAACTTTGTTAAGGGTTAAAGGTCGCTGCTGCAGCAAGACCATGAAATTTTATTCTGTTAATGAATACTGGCCCCTTACTACACCACCACAGTTCTGAAGCACAGAAGACAGTCTGTGCGCTTTCTTTACTAGTAACAACAGCTTGAAATGGCAATTTAATAGTATAAAAGAGTTGGCTGCTCCACCGAGAAAAACAGGCCTGTAAAGATGGATGTTCTTCTATTCTGAGCTTTAACTGCACGCAATAAAAATAATGAATATTAAACAGAACTCTTCAGGGGGGAATGGGGAGGATGGGAGACAGGGAGGGTGAGTGAGAGAGGAGTAGAGAGAGAGAGAGAGAGAGAGTAAAGAAGCCAGCAGGAGAACAAAGAGATCCAAGACTACATCAGTGTACAGAACAGACTTTCTGACTAAATTATAAACGATCTTCTACATACAAAATGGTACTAGAGGTAAAATCTATTTATATGTGGTGAAAAGCTGTAAACAGCTGTACAACAAGCTTTGATATCCAAGATAACTTTCAATTATGTACTTGAACATTAAGCAATAACACATTTTTTATTCCTTAATACTGTTAACAATGAAAAACATGGGTGGCTCAGTTACTGTTAACAATCTTTGCAGCTGATAACAGATAAAGAAAAAAAAAATGTATTAAAAAAGGAACTGTACAGCTCGATAAATATTTTCTATATAAAGCTGGTTAATGGTTTCAGAGTTTTGTTTCTCCATGTAAGTTTAGCTTTGTTTGAACATAGTGGAGGAATTGTAAAAATGGGTTGCACCATACAGGTAAGTTACAACGTTCTTAAAATGTACACCTCCTTCAAGCAAGTGTCGAGAAAAACACGTTTCTATAACATAACATAAATGACACTCTGCGTGTACGGTTAGTGTCGGTTAGTGCTGGTATCACTTCATTGCTTGTAATAGAATCTTTCACAGAGATAGAGAGATCGAGTTTTTGTTGGCGTTTTTCATTATTTACGAACACATTCCTGTGTGTGATACAGCAAATCATCAAAGACATCAAAGAACAATAGAAGCAATTTATAAATGATCATCGAGTTATCAACACTTTATCGTATGTTAGATATGTTAGATTCTATGCTGCTTTCTCCTGTTTACTAAAACATTGTAGGTCTCCATTGTAAGTCTCCTAATTTCTAGTTAGTAGTGTTATAGCACACATGCAGATGGTGCAAATGACCAAAGCGGAGAGTTTAGTCTGAGACTAACTTGTTACAACATGGGAGTATGTTCAGTTGGTGCAACAGGCTGCAGAAATGGGAGGCAGAGCAAAGGCCTGATGCATACTCATGATGTAAACCCTATTTGCCTCGGGCCTTGTGCTACAACATGGAGTATATTGGTCGCATACAGGATTGGCCTGGGAGTGCACACATGACAGAAATAGGAAACCAGATCATAGTCTCACGAGGAAACTAAGAAACATGTGTTCTTGTGTAAAGAGGTTATATAATGCTGCTGACTTCCTTTGGCCAGACAGAGAGGGTTTACTCTTGTTATTGCTATTGGCTTGTTCTCTGTTTTGAACCTACTCCCAACAAGGTAATAAAGCACCTTCCAAACCATATTCTTCATCCACCAACTCATGCTCCGATCATTTGATTAATCCATTACAGTAAAATTCAGCAGATGATCATTAAGCTCCTGTTTTTCCTGGGCTCAAATAAATTCCCCATCCTTCTCCATCTCAGTCTCACTTCATTTAGATTAGTCTGCATTAGCTAAAACTGTCAGGAAACCTGTTTCTTGTCGCAGCATATACTCTAAAGGTGAGAAACTGAAAAGATTATCAAACAAATCTATCATTTACCTGCATGATGAACTCCCGGCGCCGGGGCATCCCCCTCTCTGACAGCAGCAGGTATTCGGGCTCCTTCTCCTTTTTGGCCTGTTGGATCTGGGCCAGACGGCTGATTGGGTTCATGCCCTGGCCATAGTCTGGTCCCGTAGGGCAGAAGAAGAGGAAAGAGAGAGAGAGAGAGAGCGATCAATTCCAATTTTCAAATTCATTTATTGTGTTTTCAAAATTGTTGGCAGTCTCCTGAGCTTAACTGATAAGAGGAAAGGAAAGGATACGATATCAGATTCAACAGATAGATGCAAAAGATATAGAGACAAGTAGGATAACACAGGAAATTAGTAGGAAAAAAAAAATAATCTCACAATATCTTATTTCACAGGTTTGTTTGAATGTCAGTGACACTTCCGCTGGATATTTCTGCTGTACAAGGAGGTGTTGTGATAGAAGTTTACTGTGTCTTGAACACAGATGCCTTCAGCGTGTCAAAAATGTCTCCGATTTACATGACCATTTCAATTCACAGAATGAAACCATATCCTGCCTTTACACCCAAACCCTTGCTTGTCCCTCCGCAGCTGCAGTACCTTGAGGATGGTCTTGGTGCGTTTCTTGTAGTGCGTCTTGGGTTTCTCCACAGCGGGGATGAAGGGCAGCTTCTTCAGGTCCTGCAGGATGGACAGAGCGGCACGCTTCTTGGACAGCTTCTTGCTGTTGCCCTCGCCCTCAGCAGAGAACTCCCCCACGGTGACGCGAGTCAGGAAGCTTTTCATGTGTGGGGGGCCACTCTCCTTCAACACCTGGTGACACAAGGTGGAAATGAGGGACTTGTGTAAATAAAATCACCATATATACCAGATATAAAGAAAACAGACATTTGAGAGACAAAGCAGAAAAGACAAGAAAATGAATCTGAATATGTGTGTGCGTTTTTGTTATGCACGATATGTGTGAGTGCGTGTGTGCAGCGCGCTCTGCAAGCAGCTACACCAGGTGGTCCAAAACATCTGCTCTCGATGGTCACAGTGCTACCCACCCATATGCGCGTGTGTTATTCATATACAAAACACGCACACGCACACACTGACGCACAAGCGCACATATCAAGAGTAACATGTTCCTAGATGACAGTCTCTAGTGATGAAGGCTCAGTTTCCTTCCTCTAGCCTCTGGTCACCTGGGAGACCTAAAACAAACACCGGCTGGCGTTAGGTCATGCTTCTGCAATCACATCCACTTCCTGTGAAGTCCAAGAACAGTGTGTGAGTGTGCGTATGTGTGTGTGTAGCAGGTGGGGTTCTCCCCAACCTTATTTAGAAAAACATACTGGCGGAAGAATTAAGTTTCACTCACTTACTGAGTCCAGCAGTACATTTTCAGCTAATGCGGTCGCCTTTTCAATTCGTAGCTCGCCGACTTTCTCCCTCGCTCTCCCTCCAGCTACAGACGCTGCGTGGAAGTGTTTCTTTGGATTTTCTCATACCCACCCACCCCCCACCACCCAACCACCCACTCACCCCCCCCGCTCTCCTTCATTTGAGCTCAATTTGTGGTGCAGAAAGCACAAATTGTAGCAATCAGATGCAATCTAGAAACAGTTAATTTGAACCCAGTGACCGATAAAACAGATTAAAATGATAAGCGGAACCTTGAGCATTCCTCGAATTCTTCACACATCAACACAGACTAATACCAGTCCTTGAAGAGAACAAAGGATAATGTGTGCAAACCCCTCCTTCCCCGCTACATAACAATAGCTGCAGAATTTAGTATTTTGTTCAATTAAACTAAAATGACAAAGCAAGTTTGGTGGATGAAAAGCAAACAAAGAAAGGTCAAACCCAATTGCTTGTTAAATGTATCCAGAAATAATAATAAATAAATAAAACTACAGATCTATGCAGACAGATCAATGCCCATAACTCCTACCACATAGACAAGACACTCAGCCTGTTACTGCAGAATATAAAAAATTTATTTGCTCTAAAATTGCATTTAATTTAGGTATCTTCATCCTACTTTCTCAGTAGGTAACTGCAGGACATTCTTGTTAACACTGCTGACACTGGGCCTCGTGTTTGCTGTCAGTGTACCTGTTAGCCTGTCAGCATTCCTGCACAATGAGTTTTAAGTATACAGTACGTAAGGATGTGTGTTGCAGAGAAGCCTTGGAGCACTAGCTGTCCAAGCTAACAGCCAAACTCTCTCCCACCCAGGGGATCTGCTCTGGTCTTGCTCATCACCAGAAAAAGGAAACACGACATGGCAGCTTCTCGTGCATTACAACATTCAATGGGACTGGAAACGTCCCATTTCTGAGCTGTTTCATCTTTGTTGATGGTGTTGATAATGACGCTACACATCACTGGCCACTGGTCAGCTGAGATTATGTCACTTGGAGAAAAATATGAGCTACTACCAAAATATGGACAAGCAGATGCAAGTCTCTGATGAGTCTTCTTCAGCTGTCCTAATTTTGTAGCTGTACTCAATCACTCACCCAAGCGTTCACTCCCTCCTTGTCCATCACAGACTCCTTTAAACATGTGTAACTGTTCAGCTTATGTGGTTGAGCAAGATGGTAGGGTAGCTGAGACATAAACAGTGTTGCACCAGAGGATGAATCTGCACAAAGGCTTATTTTCCTCACACAAACACAAGTGCATACAATGTCTTCAAGTTATGGAAACGAGGACGGTGTTCTTTGATGTTTGTTTTCCTTTTCTGAACGCTCCCTTCAAAGTAAAAGACTGGAAACAAAAAATACCGCAGAATAAGTGATGGACAAGTGCTGCAGTGATAAGATTCATATGTGTTGTTTAAGGTGAAAACATGCAATTATGGACAAAAAGCAACAGCTCAAATGTGGCCTTCATAGGTTTATGGTATAGTCAACAAACAGTATGAGACAAAGTGTGTATCTGTGCACACGTCACACACTCTTGGCCCAGGACGGCGGCAGACGAGCTGCAGTCAGTCTCCTGGCAGACGACACAGGATCTGCGCCACACCGATGGGATTTCAGTACTTTCATTCATTTACACGCGCACACCCACACACACACACACACCCACACACACACACACATACATGCAAACAAACACACAAACACACCTGTCTCCCACCTAATGACAAGGATCAGGTTGTACACAGGAAACGCTTTTTTTTTCAGTCCCCTTCTCTTCTTGTCTCTTCATCTCTTCTTTTTCAAACATGGGAGGCCTTCTCTTCGGCTTCTCATGGAGACATTAATACCCTGAGCAGTCTGAGGATATGTGCATGCGAGACCTCAGGTACTCTGGAAGAGGAGGCTATGGGAGCAGGGCAGGACAATGGTCGGGACTGGGAGAGGGAAGAAAGGCTCTTTTGTGATGAGTAGTGGATGGACAAGCCCTGAGGGAAGCTGCTTCTTGTAAGATGGGTGGTTCTTGGCCCGGACCCTCTTTTCTTGTGTCCTCTTTGGAAAAGGAGCCTCCGATCCAACACACAAGCTGTGATTTATAGATTGGTTCCTCTTTGATGCTGACATCTGTTTGATATTGCCTGACGGGCGGATTAAATGAGCCAACTGCCTCTCAGGGTGGCGGCGACCCTCATCGTTGCAGAGGGATGGGAAAGCAGACACTCGCTAGCAGTGACTCACGAGTAATTTCATGCCCCAGTGAGGGCAGGGATGAGATGATGTGAAAACATGGCTGCTGCGAACGGCGTTCACATGAGAGATGACCATTATGGTTCTGTGTAGGATCCATGAATGCATAACTGTGCGTGTATATGTGTGTGAGTATGAGAGTTTGACTGGGGGTGTGGGAGTGTAGCATTTCTTCTCAGAGCATCAAAGAAGACACGGTAAAGAGGATGTGACATGGCAGGAGAGGAGATGAGGCCAAACTTTGTCTAATGAGTTATAATATAATAGAACCAATGGGCAAAAAGAGACCCATAGAGACATGTAATTCATACTTGGTCTCCAGCCACGGCGTAGTGGCAGGGTGAGAGCATATTGCACGCAACATGCTGATTGAGGATGAAAATGAATCTGCTGGAGAGCTATCAGGAGTATGAGGCGGACAGAAAGGTATGTAATGCCAGGAGAGGGAGATGATGATTGCAGCTTGGCCTTCAGACAGTTTAGTTTGACATGGCACAGGAAAGCAAATGTGGTGTGACTGATATGCAGAGATGGAGAACAAAATGAACATCTTCATGCACGAGGTTTTAGCAGAACGAAAATAAAAAGACGGCACCTAAGGAAACAAAACTGTTTCCACTTTCTGTTTCTTACTTCAAATCAGGAAATTTATTTGCAGCACAGGAAAGGCAGAGCAAATCCAGCAAAACACTGCTGACACGAGGGCCCACAAATCATAACTTGTGAAATAGGCAAAGAATATTAGCTGTTGATGGAGATGTAGATAGATGGTGAAAGAAAGACAAAGTGGGAGAGGAAGCACAGTGAGAGAAGTTACTGATTTACTGCTCATCAGACAGCAGTAATGAACAGCCAGTCTCCAGACTGACAGTGAGCAGAAGAGAGACTGATTGGAGGAATGTGGCTGTGGTCTGCTTCTTTTTTTTTTTCTTTTTTTAAAAACAAAAAAAACAACGCCACTCTCAGCTTCCAGTTCAGAAGGACTAAAATTGAAAGTGGAGTAAATGCTGTCAATGACAAAGACATGACAGCTAATGAATCACATCAATCCAGATTTAGCTGGCTGAAATTATTAATAGCAGTTCCAGGAAGGATGGCCATGTCATGCTCTGATGAGCAAATGTGTTTTTGAACAAAGAAGAGAGATTTGAGGGGGGGGGCGGCTGCAAAAGGGAGGATTGGACTGCTTTCCAGATATTTTTTCCAATGTTGTGTAAACTCTTATTAGCAAGAAAAGTCAACAGAGTGAGGAGAGTCTCCCTCCCTTCCTTCCATCCCAGTCTCCATTTCCTCTCACCCCCAATCCGCCTATCCCCCTAGCCTCAACACGCTACCGCCCTGTGTGTGATTTTTGGGAATGATGGCAGGAGAGGTGGAAGGGAGGGATTCTGTGGAGGAAGGGAGGGGGCACACAGAGTAAACTGAGCCTCCCTTGTTTTTGGCACCTTGCAGAGTGCAGAAGAAGAAGAGGGAGCAATGAGGGAGAGAATATTGGATGAGTCAGCTAAGATATGGTGAAAGCCAAGGAGAACGGACCCAGCAGGTCATGTAAGGACACACTGGAGTTCTTAGTGGATTTAGAAAAGTTGGGGGCAGTGGCTCTAGTGGTTAAAAAAGCACTGGTAGGATTCCCTGTAACATCCAGAGGAGTCTCACTGTGCAAAACTAAAACCCTGAGTAAGGCAGTTAACCCGCATCATATCCAGCCGAACATGCCAGCAGGAGATTGTAGCAGCACTGGGCAGTTCCCAGCTTAGTTTATCAAGGACACAAACCCTCTGCCAAAAGCTTTTCCCAGGGGCAGCCGTGAATAAGACTATGTTCTTGTCTGAACCAGCAAGCCAACACAAAGGTGGCTTAAGATTCATTTCCTCTGATGGTCACTGCATGTTTGTGTGGTAAACTGACTGAGAATGAAATCCATTACTGTAATACACACACCAGGATTTCCGACAGCTGTTTATGGAAATGGTGGGCTGCTTCTTAAGAACCGATGACAGTCTTTTCTCTCTCTCTCAAGTTTTAAGAGATGTGTACATCTTTCATAAATAAAGATCAGACGCCGCTGGGTCTGCCAAAGCCCGCCAAAAAAAAAAAAAAAAAAAAAAACGATAAATCTCTCGCAGTGCGGAAATGTCAGTCACAGTTTAAGCTGCAGGTGTGTGACAAATGACTCCACGCACATGCGAGAGAGTAGAAGCACTGAAGCACAGCATCTCCAACTGGAAGCACTTGTGTATAATGCTTTGAATTTAAAGTAATTTGACGCTTGATATTCAGCAGATAGACTTGTATTTTATACAACGTTTATTTAATCAGGTAGCCTCATTGAGATCAAGAGAGACTTGAGTAAGGAAAAACCTGAGGGAAGATGCTGTAAAACATAGATTGTCTCAATGACTCCCATCAGAAGTTGTTTCAGAGAGGAGCATCGGGCCACAGCTCTGCCTCTCTGTCTGTCTGCCCCTCACAATGGATCACGCAGGTGAGCATACCAAATGTCTACATGAAACTGAAGGCGGAAGTTAAAATACAAATTTTAAATTATGAATTCTGACTTTTGATTAAATCACACTTTTAACTCTGGACTGTGCGAGATGGAGGGATGGGGTGTGGCATCAAGGTCCCAAGGTCATCAGAGGTCATGTCACGTTGAATTACAGAGAAATGTGTGCAAAATACTGCACAGATTTTATGTGCCATTTTATGTAGCACAGAAGCCATTAAAAAAAGATATCTTAGGTGTGAATATTAAGCACAAGTGCGACAGTGGAACCTTCGGTAACCTCATAATGCTCTGTTTATGTTGAAACTGGTGTCAGAGACCTTACTTGTTGTATTGGATTGCGTCATATTGTACTGGTATGCGAAATAATGTAATAACACACGTGATGTTTCCATCAAACATATTAACTAAACAGGGGATAAAATAAGAGGAATATTGGTTCAAGTTGTTAAAGAAAAGGTTTTGAAAAAGATTTGTCTATTTATTGCTTTTAAGCAGATTTTATTTAATTTCATGGGAAAGTACAGGATGGATACTAAATTTATTTAAACTTGCAGTGCCGGATGATCCACACTGATCACTACTTTATCAGCTGAGTCACCCACAAAGTCACTGGATCCACTTCAGTGTCGCACATCAGTCCGGGAACATTTTGAACTTAGAACCATGAGAATTTCCACAAGCCATAAAAAAAACAGTAATCCGTCCAAGAATTCCTGTTTGCACATTTCTTTTTAACCACGTTTGAGATAAGTGACCTCATTGATGTAAAAAAATTAAGCAAAACTGGATAAACACACATCCTCACACAGATTACATTTTATTATTATTGCGAGTAAAGACTTATCAGTGTGACTCCTTCAAGTTTTTCTGTCTTATCTTCTCACGGAGCTAATGAGTTGTTTAGTTTTTGTAATACTTACCGCTCTATAACTTGCACAAACCCAGGGATTACATCATGACTAATCATATGTCCCCCTCAGTCCATAGCCTTATCCTCATTTCCTGTTCATTCATGTTATAACTTCTAGGAAACACATGACTTACAATTTACTGTAGCCCCGATGATGACAGCATCACTTGGCCTTATTTTTGTGGGTATATGTGTTATAACTACGTCATGTCTTTCTCACCTCAAAGTTGACAGACAAGTTCCTCTTGAGGGCAATTTCGTAGACCAGGCTGATCTCTGATTTGCTGGCATCAGTGCCTTCCTCTGTCTCCCCTTTCTCTTCTGGGTTCTGGAAAACAATGCCACAAAAAATAAAATAAAATAAATCAGAGGTCAAAGTGGTAAAAGAAGACCTACTGATTGTTATTGCTCACACTTGTGTTGCTTCTTGGTTATAGGTATCAACATGCTCATAACACAAGTCATAGTACTATTTCTCATTATTAGATTTTCCCTTGAGTCACAATTTCAAAAACTTGATGTTCCTTTCCCTCTGACCTGCATGTAAGAAAACACACGTACACTCACACACAGAGAGAGAACTGTCAGGGGGTAAAGTAACATCTATTATTCATGAACTGTCAAGAATGCCATGACTACAGCTAAAATTCAAAAGTGCAACATCCACCAAGTTTGCATCGCTGTTATGGTGAATGCAAATGAGAGCAAGAGCCTCTGACATCATTTAGATTCGTGTTTGGAAGTATTATGGTTTTCCAGTAAATGAGAAACACACAGAAAAAGATGTATTGGATAAGACTATGAATAACTGTGGAGAATGTTCAACCGCCTATATGTCAGATGACATGTCTGTGGGGAAAAAAAGGCTACATTGAAGATGCAAAGTCTTTCGCAATGGCGTTATCAAAGTGTGTCTGCTGTTGCTGAGTGAGTGATAACGTCGAATAAGTGATGAAGTTACAATAGCGGTCAGCTCAGTGTTGGACTTTTCCTATTGGCCGTTGCCGTTTCAAAAATTATTTGGCCATTTTGAACATTTTCTATTATTTCATCATGGGGCGTTTATAACGGATTCACAACAGTTTTCATTTCCAGAGCCCTTCAGTGACTTTTTGTCAGAAAAAGCACCTAGCAACAAATCAAGCTGCATTTTGGAAAAAAAACTTCGCTACCTTCCATAGAAACGAGTCGCCAGTACAGCCCTGTGAGCCAGAGGCACATCTCTGTCTAAGCTTACTCTGTCCAGTGAGTGGTAGAGAGGCGGAGCAGCAGTTTTGATACCGACAGAGGCTGAGAGTTTTGTGAAAGACAAAATAAGAAAGACATTCTGTCTCTTCAAACTTTCTCTCTGAGTGATCATTTCACAAGTACATATAGCCAAAATCACAGCACAGCCATTCTCTCTTATATGTATGGTGATTTTGTCAGACAATGTCACAGTTATAAAATTTCAACATAGCAAGAGCAGCAGCTTGGAAATGGCTTGGAAGTGACTGCTGGTTAACATGTAGTATTCATCGGCCAAGTTGCGCTACTTCATACTTGCTCTGTGGTATGACAACAGACACAGAAAAACGTGTCAATAAAACAACTTTGTAATTAATGTAGAGAAATAATCAGATATTATCTTTAGATTTCTCTAAGTTTTATAAATTTTAAAGCAAGTATTATGCTAATTGAGCCACTATTTAATGTTGAGGTTTTTTAAAATAAAATGGAAGGAAAATGTATCCTGTTTTTTCCGACTGTACAAAAAAAAATAATAGACCATGACCCCAAAATAGTGGCTCATATCAAAGACTTTTCAGATTTACACACCTAGAGTGTGGATGTCCGCCAAGCTGCTGCAACAAGAAGCCTGTCTGTTTTCTGTCTAAGATCCTTATCTGATATGGGATTGAGATGTCAGTATTCCTGGACATGACTGGTGGTCCTCTGTCTGCACAGGAAGGTATCTTATAGGGGGTGGTCCACTAAATTTGAGAATTATTGCATATAAACTCTCTGTTCTTGATAGACATATTATTATTTGTGAACATCAAGAACCGTCTCGCCCTCAAAACAGAAACTGGAGAACAAGGACCCAGAAGGAAAGGATTGTTAAGGTCAGTGGGAAAGCACCAGCAGATTTTATTGGGATAACCACATATTTGTTGGTTCCAGATAGACCTAACAACATTGCTATGTTAAAAATAATTTTTTTTTCAATCCACAAAATTTGACGCCCATGAATCTATGAAGTAATTCTGGACATAATACCAGATGACTCTAGTCTGAGCCTTCAGTCAGTTTAGCAGTTTTTGAATAACTAAGTCAGCTGTTTCAATATGGATCAGACAGACTAAATCTATTATAATTAGAAGTGTAATTTTGAGGAATTCTTAAATAGATCACTATATGCCTATAAAATACAGTATTGCTATTTGTCCCTTCTACTAATAAAGAAACAAACCCTTAGTTCACTCCATAGAGATCATATCATCAGCCATACAAGGGGCTTTTTGGTGCCAATTGTCTATGGGAATATAGAGTGCTGTCTCGATCTTTATCTTTTCATGTCCACCTCTTTGTCTGATTAAGTCTGAAAGGCTGTGGTCTTTCCCTTTGGGCTCCTTCCCTTCTCCTTCTCATTGTGTGACCTGATACGTCGCATGATTCATACTGCGAGATCTCTTGGATTTCACAGGAAACAGTCACGTGGTTCGATGCACCTACCGCACAGGGACGAAAGACTTGGTGCTGGCGAGAGGTGTGCTTTCTTGTGCGTGTGCTGAGACATACATCATCTGCCTCTTGTATATATGTATGTGGACACAAGAGACACCTGAGAGTGCAGTCAGTCCAAAAAGCCCTTTCTTCTAGTTCTCTTGTATCCGTGGTTTTCATGGTTACATTTTCCTCTGCTGCCGTTTCTAGCGTTCTTGATATATGTGATTAATAGTGTGAATCCCCTCTCAAGGCTGCAATATCAAGCCACTGGTTATAAGCCGCTGCGTGTGTCTGTGGGTGTGTATCCGTGTTCAAATTGGAATAACCAAGCAGATCAGCAACCTTCTTGTGACAAAGACAAATAGAGGGCTAAATCTGACTTTGGTGCTGCCTCTACATATGGATGTTGTAGACAGAAAGTATAAGCAAGCGAAGAACCCATATAGTGCTCTGAGACATTAACACTCACCCTGAAGGAGCCGTTTGAATGAACAGTGACTGTGGGCGAACAGAATACTTCGCATTCACATCTATGCGCTTGGGAAACTGATTTCGTAATAGAAGAAAATCATTCTAGATCAAAGGATGGGAAGAGGGGCTTCCCTGTAGACAGAAGAGCATCAATCTTAGTAAAGTAACTTTATTGTAAAGGGCACAATTTCACGCGTCTAAATATATTCATGACCATGCAACCTTGCTCCTAGAAACTGATGATACAGATTTCCTCTCATAAATGCCCCAGTCAAACCACTTATTATGAGAAAAACAAACTGTTTTTCTCAAGGAGGACAGGAAGTGCACTTCATATGTCATGATTTCAATAACATCACCAGTATCTAAACCCACTAGCACTGGATTTACGAGTTAGTCAGCAGTTTCATTACCTAAAGTCCTGTGAAGTTGGAGTTGTTTCTTTTGTGTTTCCTAGGGTTACATATTGTTGTTCTATCAGTGTAAAAACACTCTAATTAAAGCGTCACTGATATTTACTTGTGGTCTTCCTCAAAATAAAGGTTTGACAGCCCTTGGTGAAAAGGAACACTTTTAGCTCGAGGGTGTCTACACACTTACACATGTAGGAGCACACACACTCACGCGGAGACAGAGTGACAGACATATACTGTAGACACAATGTGCCTCAATTTGTAAAGCAAGACTCAGAAGCAGCGGCAAACAAAGAGCTCATTTATGGAGGCCGACGCCACAAGACAGCAAGTCAGGCAAGAGAGAGGAGCCAAAGCGTTTTGAATAACCATCAGCAATGCCAGGCGTTGAAGATATGGGGTAATTTGATTTCCGGTGGGAGATTATAACAACAGTTAACAGCTATGCCTGAGGGGAAAATCTGGAAAGGTACAGTGACATTGGGAGTAGGCTCAAAGAAAAAGGACAAAAAAAAAAAAACACACAAAAAAAAAAAAACGAGGGACAGATAATGCATCTCTGCCAGGTGCAAACTAAAACTATGGAGATTGAAGGGCTTAAATTATACATTAGAGTAATTAGAGATGAGGTGGATTTGGATTCAATCTGATGAAAGCTGGTTATGCATTCATCTCAGTGACTGCAAAAAAAAACTGCATAACTCTTTAGAGCCTCTCCACGGAGAGCACAAACAGATCAGCAGTGCAAATCCTGACTTTTCATTAAGGGTAGAGTTTTCAAGTCGGACGGGGTCAAGTGGAGAGACAGAGTCTTCTGGGGTGAGAGCAGTCACATGCTGAAGGGTTGAGGCTGGGATGATTGGTGGAGAATTAAAGTGGAGAGTGGAATGACCTTTTACACAGCGAGTGAAAGACAGCCCTTTAGGTTTGGAGTGGAGCAGCTTTGTGTACATTAGTGTAACGTATAATGTTAACATATTAGCTACACAGTAGAGTTAAAACGATTGGGCAATCAACTGATCATTTGACAGACACTAAGTAAATCTTGGCTGATCATTGTAATCACATCATTATTTTTTACATTTGAAATAGAAATGTGATGCTTTTCGGTGTAATCGTTTGACATGACCGAATGTTGAGTACAAGTGAAGACACCTCCACTCTGCACTTGGTAATACACAGCACCAAACGTGACAGGAGTGGCTACTTGTTGAATGAGGGTTGTGTCTGAAGGGAGTGGGACACTGAATGTGAAAATCACTTGCCCTTGGAGGATAAAGCTGGGGACATTTTATATTTTTTATATTTTGTATTATCTGTGTAGCCAAAGTAGCCATACAGTACATACGATAGCTTATTTGTCTGTCATATAGCTCTGTTGTTAAAAACAGATTTGCACACTTTTCTCCATTATGTTGAAAATGGGCACTGGAGAGTTTTCAAGTCACTGTCATATTTATTTATTTATTTATTTTTATTTGTCAGAAATTACGAAAATATACAAATAACGCAGCCATTACCTTTAAGCAGGCCTAACACAGTTATTAAGAAGAATAAGTGGTGGTTTAGTTACAGTGTCTTGTCACTGCATAGTACCAATGCAATGAAAAGATTATTGCAGCTATCTCTGCATTGCAATTAGAGCTATTTACAGTGCAACATTTACTTTGTTTATTTAATTAATGAAAAACCCAAAATGGTTATGTACAGGAGCATGAAAAGTAAGGAACAAACAATATTTTATTTTCATAAGCAAGGCAGAAATCTATTTTTGTTCTTATAGTAATAGAAGAGCACTGAAGACAGCAGCAGGGATTCCCAGAGAAGGAGTCAACAATTGCATGTTAAACAACAGCTGGTATGCTGTGCTAGCGTAAAGCCTTTCTGTTTATACTTGTTTGTGTGTGTGTTTACCTGTGGTGGCCGTTCTGGGATAGGTTCATTGCGCAGGGCTTGCAGGGCCTTCATGGCAGCGTTGTGTCTTGCTGCTTGGCGGGTGCGTCCCTCGCCAATAAACTCATGAGTCCCCACGGACAGCTGCACATAGAAGATCTTAGGAACAGGATAATGGTACCTGGAATGAACAGAACAACAGAAGGGAGAAGGGAATATTTATAATAAAAAAACTGTTCACAACAACATGCACCAAATCGGGAGTGAAAGGATATTAGAGGAAGAGTTTGTTTACAGCCTTGAGTTAACATTTATCTAAATGACATAAAAACAGATGAAAAGGGAGGAAGAGGAGGCTCCAACATTATGAGCCAAGTTATCAATTCACACCGTTTACAGCGTTCCCAAATTAAAGGCCCACCACTTCATCAGGGTCAATTACTACACAATGGCCTGTTGGCTAACCACTTGAGTAATGCCTTGCTATTGAATCTCAGCTTAGGGATGCCTAACAAAGCAAAGGGACATATATATCCCCTCCTCTTTCTTCTGGCTCTGGACATAGATTTTCCTCTCTTTCTTTGGGTTGTGACAGAGCGGGACTGAGCTGTCAACGAGGAGATTTAGAGGTCTGCAAGTCCGCGTGTGTGATACCCCCTCCTGGGTCAGGGGGAGAATGGCTGAGAATGTCTGCCGGGTTGCGGACAAGGAAAGAGAAATAGTGGGAACGCTAACAAGAGAGGAGTGGAATCCAAAGTTTTTCATATCCGTCTCCCTGTCCTCTTTCTTATCCGCCAGTATATACTTGTATTCACAAGGACATACAGCCACCATATGTGGTAGACACAAATGGATAGCAGCAGCTAAGATTTATCTGTCTTGACTAGAGTCGGGTGCCAAAATGTATTCAATATTTTCATGTTTGGTCAAGGCATAAGCTTTTGATTAGATAATGAAAATCAGCAGTTAGTGAATATGGTGAATTTTATTTCATGATGTGCTGAGAAAATTAAAACAAGATTTACAGAAACGCATCTATCCCTTTTCCCTGTGTATACATATCTACTCTTTTTCAGTTACACCACAACATCTTACTTGGCACTGCAGCAGCCGTGAAATGTGAGAATTAATACTTGATTGAGTACGTGTGGGAATTTGGGGAACCCGAGAAGCTCGAAAATGTAGAGCAGGAGAAACTGTATAGACTGGAAACTTTTGCACACTTTCTTTCACAACCAATCAAACGCATGCATCATTAAATTAAAATATCTCGAGTCGTTTGCACCATATTTAACAGCAGCCCAACCAGCACTTCTTTAAATGTTTGAAAACGATAAGCATTCCCTTGTGTATATGCCAATATATTTAATGACTGAGATCATATGTTATTCTCTTGTGTCTCTAAAGTACAACTACACAAACAGACTCCAGCCATGCTAGCAGCCTTGTGAGGCTGTACACTGGTGCATCCAGCATTGCTAGCATACTAAAGTTTACCACGTTTACCCCCTTAGTTTAGCATGTTAGCATGCTAACATTTCCAGATTAGCACTAAATACAAAGTTCAGCTGAATGCAGGTATATGGTGATAAACCAAAGTATGGGACAAATTAAAATTCTGAGGTGATGACGATGCAAGAAGAGAACATAGCATCATCATCCCGAGGAAGATTTCACTGCATGTATCAAATGGAAGTTCATCCAAAAGTTGCTGAGATAATTCACTCAAAACCGCAACTGTGAACTTTGTGGCAGAGGAAAAGTCACAGGATTACCAAAGTCTTTGGTATTTGTTGAGTCAAAACCACTAATGTCTGTGCAACATTATTTTTTGCCAATTCATCTAGAAGATGTTGAGATGAAACCTATTGATGGGAATATGTGAAAAAACAGGGATCACCAACGTCATTAAGGTTCATCTTTAAAAGTCCCACTGACCAAGAGACTGACTAACAAATGTTTACCAAAAGTTACAGTACAGTTGAAATTTATCATATTTTGGATCTTATTTTCATAGATTTGGGCATCATTCCTATTAATCACACTGTACACACCAATTTGATGGTTGAGATCTGGAAATGTGGAAACACTGCTCAGCCGGGGAAACAAACACGAGCAGCCAGAAGATCATCCAGATTCTACACAAACCTCCATATTAGCCAAAATGTCTCATGTAAACATCCATCACACTTTACAGACCAATATCTGTAATAAAGTTGCAGATATTGATTTTCCCAGATGTCAGCAACTACTTTGGTGAGTAAAGTGTCATCATAACTGACAGAAACGGTGGCATTACTAAGTAAATTATGTAATAATTAGGAATTTTCCTTGAAACTTGACAAAGTAATCCCAAACATTACTGTGGCCACTTTTTTACATTTTTCCACAGAAGTTCTAGAAATACTGCCTCCTCACCAGCAGTAATTCCTACAAGCTAACTGTACCACACGTCATTCCTCTGAACAAACCTCCAGTCTTCCCACTCTCATCATCTCTTTCCCCAATCTCCTGCCCCACAGGCCAAACAATGAGTCAGCATTTTACTCCCAGAATTCCAGCAGGTCTTTCTCCAGCCCACAGCCCTCCTCTCATCCGTCTGCTCTCAGCTCCTCCTGGCCACGGGAGCCTTCTCTGGGCGGGGGCCTGCCTGGCCCTCGCACGTCAAGTGTGGCCCCAGGGTCTCAGAGGACATGCCAAGTGCAACATGGGCTCCGGCCAACAGCGCTGAGCTGAGATGGGAGCAGCTGGGGCTGGAGCGCTGAGTACAGGTGCAGAGAGGAAGAGAGAGAGGGATAAGAAAAAAAGAGAGAGAGGGAGAGGGGGGGGGGGGGGGGGGGGGGGGGGGGGGGCTGAAGTGAAGAGAAAGAGGGACGGAAAGAAAGAGAGAAGAGAGAGAGGGACACGGAGGGAGGCCTGTGGGAGACCCTACTCCACAACGTGGGAAAGTAGTGGCTTACACACAAGCAAGTCAGCCAAGAACACAGGCGAGCACACGCACACACACCAGAATCATGCAGACAAAAAAGGCAGGAAAATCACGTCAGCGCGCTGTGGCCAGTACAAAAATCAACACATGCTGGCTGGATCTGCCTGTTCCATGTTATCAATTATTATTGTTGTTATTATTACTACTACAGAGAGGGAACTGGACCAGGACACCTGTAGGGTGGGTGTAGAGACTGCTGAAAGGAAAAGAAAATAATAATAATAATAAAAAAAAAAAAACCCACCCCTGTGTCTTTGTGATGATGTGAGTGTGTGTATGTGTGTCTGGTATGATGCAGGGATGAGTGACTGAGTGAGGGAGAGAAAACCCACCTGATGGCTCAACTCAATCAAATGATAACTCATCAGCATTAAGCAGTGAGTAATGAATTTGACTTTGAAGCCCTGCAGCTCTCTTTAATGTGGACTACGTTAGTTAAAGTTACCATTTCATCATAATCATTCAAAGACTCATGCACGAACACACACAGAGATAGACACAAATATGCAGACATTTTGAGGCCACACACAGTCCTACTGGGAAACTGGAGATATGGTATTGCAATTATCACTGTAAATGACAGAGTGACATTTCAGATGGAAACTATTTTCTCCTGTGGCATGGAAAACTATTTCCATTCTAAATGCCTGTGAAGAAAAAAAACTGCACGTGTCGCACTTGTTCCGAAACTGAGGTTTTCATAGTCTGAAGTGACATCAGGTCTATGATGTAAATGTTCTATTTATATAATGGCAAAAAACATAAATACCCCATAGCTTTGTACCTCACTTTTTTTTCTACTTAAGGATAGGTGTGACGCTTTGGGAAATCCTCTATCGTTTTCAGAGGTGACAGTGATGCACAGTTGAAGTCTGACAGAATATTTTAACAAAAATTGAATTATGGGTATTCTCAATCTGCTGTTGAACATGACACTGCAGGGAAAATGCAAGTCCAGTCCAGTAACTTAATGGTGAACACACCAGATGGAGAAGCTTTTAAGTTACAGATAAATAAATAAATAAAAACACAAGATGCAAGGAGTGATACAGTTCTATAGTTCTACTGGACAAAAAATAAAAAAATATATGGCCTGTAACTAAACACATGACACTGTCGACCAGTTGCAGATGGCAGTGTACAGGGAGCCATGAAAATTTCAACAGCTTTGACTGGCAAACCAGTGCAGACCGCAGCAATCAAAACTAAATGCAGCGCTTCCTTTTAGTCGTAAACCTGCCATTTTGCCCATGAGAACACATCAAACTCAGTTTTTTTTTTTAAAGAATATAATGCCACCCTTAATCATCCCAGGCAACTGTGGTTGTTGTTAGAAACCCCAGTGGAGGTCACCGATACTACCCATTAGTCATTAAATATTAAATAGGATACTCATTAAGCTATGCAGGACTGTTGATACTGGCAGGAGTTCATGTATTAAGGTGCCTACACACTGTGCAACAAGTTCACTGCCTGTCGCTCTGTGCAAAATGAGTCTAATAAATCCTGGGAAACAATCAGTGTCAGACTGCATATCAATTTTGAGACATGTCAGGTGGTGGGATGAATGCCTGGTGAATCGTAGTGCTGCTACGTAAACAGAAAGGAAAAAAAAAAAAAAACACGCAAGCAGTCACATGGCGTCAGTTGGCGTCATTCATCTGCACCCTAGTGATTTGATAATGAAGCACAACGATATTCTTTCATGTGTAGAGAGCTCTTTGTATGAGTGGGCTCTTGCAGTTGCAGTAGAGTCATGAATACTTTCTTGTCGATTTTTTGCTCAGTGACTCTGCCTTGGACTGGTGATGTGATAATTGACTTCAAAATTGGTCGTGAGATGCCCTTTTCTGTCAATGAAAAATTATTAAAAATGACTGACTGAATGACTACTTTGACAAAAACTCAAAAGAAGAGGAAGGAGAGAGTGGATCAGATAAGTGCAGAGTGAATTTGGGCTATGTATGTTTTTTTAGCAGTAGCATTATGAAGACTTGCCAGTGTTGTACTCTGGCATTAAAATTCTGAAACTGTTGCAGCCTGCGTTTGGTTGCCCTAAATCATTTCTGACGAAAACAGATTTCACCATCTTTCTCTCACAATTTCTCTCACAGAATTGCACAGTGTAAAGGGGCTTTTACAAATAAGTAAAATCTAATTCATAACATGTTTATATTCATTTTAGTGCAGCT